CATCACAGACCGTGACAGAGAAACCCTATACCCATCACAGACCGTGATAGAGACTCTCCACAGACCATCACAGACCGTGACAAAGAAAACCCATACCCATAACAGACCGTGACAGAGAAACCCTATGCCCATCACATACCGTGACAGACAAACTTTATGCCCATCACAGACCGTGATAGAGAGGGGCTCTAGAGACCATTACAGACCCTGACAGAGAAAATCCATACCCATCACAGACCGTGACAGAGAATCTCCGAACCTATCACACACCGTGGCAGAGAGAGGCTGGAGATTGACACAAACTGTGACAGAGAAACTCTATAGGCATTATAAACCATGACAGACAGACTCCAGAGAACAAAACTGACTTTGATAGAGAAGCTGTATACTCATCACAGAGTCTGACAGAGAAATTCTAAAGAGCAGTACAGATCATAATAGAGAGACACCACAGAGCAGTGCTAACCATCAGAGAGAAACTCTGGACATTACGGCCCATAACAGAAGGTTACAAAGACCATTGTAGACAGTACAGGTGATCTCTCTTAGTAACAAAGAGTACGAGAAATATTATAGAACGACAGTTACAGGTCTGTATATAAGTCTTTCTTACTGAGTACATCGTGTTTCACATTTTTAATCCCGCAAGGGATTGCGTTAACAGCGTTTTTAATTACTTCGAGTAATCGAGTCATTCAAATCGTTAAAATGTCTGATAGTTGGACGATCTTTTCACGGAATTTTGTTTTGATACGTCTTTACAAAAACAATATGAACGGTGTCAAATCAAAATTCAAGCAATTAAAACATACATCATCCATGAGTATTTCTGGAAAGAGACAACAGATCAAATTTTTCTATTTCAGCTAAAAGTCTTAGCTTTCAACAATGCTTTTGAAATTCGTCCGTAGAAATCAAAACTCTGTGTATCTATCTATTATCCAAAAAAAAATTGTTGGATGAAGTTTAGTCAATAGTGACACGAAAGGGAAAAACTTTGTAAACGGACTTTTGAAACACCCTGTATAACAGAAACGTAAACAAAGTATTAGACATAACAAACACTGAATAAATAGGAATCAATGAGTGTGCTGCACATGAAAGTGTGAGTATGGGTATGCGTGTGGAATGTAAGTGTGAGCGTGAGTGGTGTGTAGATACTCTGCTTAACGACACCGACACTTACAGATACATCCACGTACACCCAAACCGGCGCGCCACACCCATATCCAAAAAGCCACACCTACACTCACACCATAGCCATCTGAGCCCTCACCCACCCCCGCAACAATAACCGTTGGTACGGTTATTGGTCCAAGCCAATTTTCACGAGCGAAAGTGTTTTTCGAGAAAATCGATATTTCATATAGGTTGGCGAAAGTAGGCCGTGGAGAGAGAATTTCAATCTACAATTGGTTTCTCGTTATTTTGATTTGAATTTTTGTCAGTCAAACAAAGGATTTTCTGAGAAAATAACAATATTGTGTAGAGATTGACGAAAGTAAACCACGATCAAAGAATCTGAATGCGTCATCGAGTTTTCAAAATTTTGAGTTTGATTCTTTTCGCACCATTATTTTCTGAAAAAAATTGGTTTATCCCTCGAAAAATAGTTCTGCACAAAGACCACGATTTTTTTATAAAAATGAATTTTCCGTAAAAATAAGAGCTTGAAATTTTGAGAAACCGCTTGTAGATTCGGACTCTTCGATCTCAATTTACTTTCCTCAATTTTTCTAAACTATTGTAACTTTATTAGTAAAAAAAATCGTTTCTGATCGATCGGTTTTCTAGCCAATGGGAAGATCAGATGCAAAATTCGATCTCGGATTCAGAATCCTAGTCGTCGATAGCCTCTAGTAAAGTTTCACGAAAACGTGCGAAAAGCTTCAAATGAAAAAGCTCATATCTGATTGGTCGACTTCCTAGCCAATTGGAAAAACAGATTTAAAATCCAATTTTGGATTCAGAATCGTGACCCTCGATAACCTACGGTCAAGTTTCATCAGAATGTGGGAAACGCTTAAAGTAAAAAATCTCATTTCTAATTGGTCGGCTCTCTAGCCAATAGAAATGTCACATGTGAAATTCTATCTCGGATTCAGAATCCGGACCCTCGATAACTTATAGTAAAGTTTCATTAGAATGTGTGAAAAGCTGAAAATAAAAAAGCTAATTTCTGATTGATCGGTCTTCTAGCCAATGGAAACGTCCGATATAAAATTTCATCTCAGATTCAGAATCCGGACCCCCGATAACCTATAGTAACGTTTCATTAGAATGTGCGAAAAGCTTAAAATAAAAAAGCTGATTTCTGATTGGTCGACTTTCTAGCCAATGGAAAGGTTAGATGTAAAATTTGATCTCAGATTCAGAATCCGGACCCTCGATAACCTACAGTAAAGTTTCATTAGAATGTGTGAAAAGCTTAAAATAAAAAAGCTGATTTCTGATTGGTCGACTTTCTAGCCAATGGAAATGTCCGATGTAAAATTCGATCTCAGATTCAGAATCCGGACTCTCGATAACCTATACTAAAGTTTCATTAGAATGTGCTAAAAGCTTAAAATAAAAAAGCTGATTTCTGATTGGTCGATTTTCTAGCCAATGGAAACGTCCGATGTAAAATTCGATCTCAGATTCAGAATCCGGGCCCTCGATAACCTATAGTAAAGTTTCATTAGAATGCGTGAAAAGCTTAAAATAAAAAAGCTGATTTCTGATTGGTCGATTTTCTAGCCAATGGAAAGGTTAGATGTAAAATTCGATCTCGGATTCAGAATCCGGACCCTCCATAACCTATAGTAAAGTTTCATTAGAATGTGCGAAAACCTTAAAATAAAAAAACTGATTTCTGATTGGTCGACTTTGTAGCGAATGAGAACACCGAATGTAAAATCCGACCTGAAAATCAGATTTCCCGACCTCGATATCCTGTATTGAGACCTTAGAAGGTACACCTGATTAAAGTTCCCTTCTAATGTTTTTTTGACCTTGCAGCAAACAGACAGAACAGAACAGACAAACTCTTTTACTTTTTTTCGCATGACCCTCCCTTCAGTCGAGGGAATAACACCAAAATAAAATTTCTGGAATTATAGAAATTACTACCATTAAAGCTTTGAGACACATTCACTATGGCACTGACCATAAAAAAAGGGTGTGGGTGTGTGTATCGGTGTGGTTGTAGATTAACTGAAGTTTCACAACCTATCTATGTGGCTTTCTTAGGGATTCATATAAATTATTGAATGTCGACTGAAAACAAATTAAGGGGGGCCCCCCCTCAGAAACGAACTTTGTTATTTTCTCATCCGATTTCAACCAAAATTTCGGAGAATGTTAGTCTTGGTTAGAATAGATTATGATTAAAATATCTCCCCCAAAACTCAAACTTATACACAAGTTCTAGTGAATTCATTACCCGTTACGCGGGCAAGGATTTCACAATGGGGTTACTATGTAATCATGTCGGGCTGGTTTTTAAATTGTAGAGTGACCTTAGGGCTAGATCCTCACGATCTCCGATTTTTAAATTTCCCTTTATTTGATTTTTAAAAACACTTTTTTCGTCACATGTGCAAATTCAAAGCGCTCATCAAACTGAAATATCTAAGTTTTTTATTTCAATAAAAGAGAAATTCAAAAATCGGAGATCATGAGGATCTAGCCCTAACTGTCCTCTATTCAACAAAAAAAAATTATCGTTTCTATATTGAGTCGTTATTAAGAAATCCTTGCCCGCGTAAACGGTACGATCGAAAAAATTGATTTTGAGAAAAACGCTAAACAAAGTTTTTTGATGCAATACGTGTCTTAATTCGAAATAAGTCTGCTTATCTACCTAATATTTTTGCACTATTCCTCAAGCTTTATTGATAGCCTGTATGTAGATATATCGTAATACGGTTAATAGTACACATCATGCCTAAATTGTGGTCATGATTCCTTATACATAGATGTCACTTCATGTCACACATGTTTTATCAATTTTTTGGTTAATTCAGAAAATAAAATTACATTTATAAATTTTTGCCTATTCAAGATGCTTGTGTATATTTCTCTGAATGCTCTGATAACGAAAATGGTTATTGCCTTTGTAAAGGTCTCGAAGGGAGATTTGATTGGTGATTTTTCGATCAATCGTAGCTCTGAATGTAAAAAATTGTTTTCTACTGTACTTTACGTATTGCTTTGAATTGACTTTCATTTTTGATCTTTCATTTTTACAACTGATTGTCAATAAAATTATCTATTTCTAGATATAGTTTACTTCTAAAAAAAACTTAAAATGCCTACTACAAAAGGTCGTCAGTCTCGTAAGAGCAGCAAGGCTGCACGTTCTCTTAGAGCTTGGTTGTCCAAACACAAGCAATTAGATTCGTCTCGTCCAACTCGTTCATCATCGTCGTCGTCATCTGAATCATCGAATAGTATTGAAGACCTATTCATTAATTCATTATATTTGACAACAGCCTCATTATCTTCAAACAATACATTAAATAACTTATGCACTTCACAACAAAAAATAATGGCATATGAAAGAAGAAAAAATAATGCAGTAGCCGATAGTGATGAAATGGATTTTTATCAAGTAATCCACAACAGCTTTTTATTAGAATTGATGCGAAATACCATATGTATTGGATGTAAAGAACAATGGAATGGGAAAATACATATTAGTAAGAGAGAAGGTATGTATAAATGATTTTGATGTTGATAGGAACCTTGTTTGACTTGCTATACAAAAATGATTCATTTTCATTTTCTTTTTACATCTAGTTTTATATTGTTCATTAGCATTTACATGCCAAAAGTGTGAACATACAATACAAATTAATACATCTAAGATGATTCCGGATACAAAACATCGTGATATCAATATACGTGTTCAATTAGGTACGTCAGTATCTGATTCAATCAGATAAAACTTCTTCTCTTATTCTGTTCGGTTCTGATAACGTTATAGCTTCTTTTCTAGGTGCACATTTGGCAGGAATTGGCCGTGCTGGTGTAGCTAAAATATTTGGGACGATGAATATACCTCCACCAGTAAAAGAAGATCACTATGAAGAAATTGATAGAAAACTTCTATTACCATGTATCAAAAAATTCCAACATCAATCAATGCAAGCTGCTATTTGTATGTATTTTGTAAAAAAACACAATAATATGATTTTTTTTCGTTTCATTGTATGTTTATTATCTTTTAGATGAGTTTGTTGATGAGAACGAAGGTGATCCAACAAACTTAACAATTAGTGAAGATGGAACATGGCAAAGACGAGGCTCCAAAAGTATCCATGGAATAGCTGCTGTTTTATCGTGCAACACAACGCCGAATGTACTCGATGTTCAACGTTTATCAAAAAAATGTGTGATATGCACTGGTGCATTAAGTGTGAAAAATACAGATCCAGATTTATATGTCGAGATTATTAACAATCATGACTGTGAATCAAATTATGATGGATCATCTGGTAAGTTAGGATTTGTCTATCAAAAAACTGAAAATAAATCTATGTTGAACTTTTTTCTAGGAGGTATGGAATCACAAGGTATTCAAGACATATTTAAACGTTCCGTTCCAAACTATCAAGCTCAGTACACTCGGTATGTACAAACATAAAAATACTAGATAAAATATGCTCTATTCATTGTTAAAATGTTACAGGTATATTGGAGATGGAGATTCGTCGGTCATGTGGAATCTTACTCAACATCCCCCATATCCAGATATCAAAATTGAAAAGATCGAAGACATCAATCATTGGTCAAAAAGAATGTTATATCGGTTGGAAAAGTTGACACAAGAGTTGAAAGATACAATGTTAGATCCAGAAAAAAAACGAAAAGGAATTGGTGGTGTTAATCGCTTGACCAAGGATAAGTAGTAAAGAATTATTGACACTACTTTTTCTTCATAGATAGATAATATTTTTTGTTGACTTGTTGTAGAAATGATGATAAAGTTCAAGTTTTACTACGCAAAAGTAATCAATGAATATAAAAATGATATAGACATGATGCATAAACGTACGTGGGCGATCTATAAGCATAAAGTAAGAGAACATACTATAATACAAAGAGACAAACTTCACTATAATCATACTGATAACCTTTTAGATATCAACAAATGAAGAACCTGATCACGACTGGTGTGGCGATTGGTGTGGCTATAAAAAGTCCTTACTAACAGGTATCTACAAAATGATTTTTATGACTTTGTTTTTCTTATTTTTATCCGCATGGTTTGTTCTAGCTGTTCGTTAAATATTTATGTTTATTTTAACATAGGCACAAAATATGACCAGCAGAAACACTCTTTACCAAAATATGTCATGGAAGCTATTAAACCTGCATTTGAAGACCTGGCTTCTAGTAAGTTGTTTCTATTCATAATGATTTTTACTTCTTTGTTTATGATGTTTTTTTAGAAGAAACTTTACAACATGTACTTAATGGATCCAGCCAAAATGCTAATGAGTCATTTCACTCATTCTTATGGTCCATGGCTCCTAAGAACAGATATTGTAGTGGAACTATTATTGATAGTATGTAAAAGATAGAGTTTTTCGACTAATATTATAGTTCATCCGATGTTTTTCCTTCTTTCTAGTCTGTCTTGGGTTGGCTGTTATGATCTATAACGACGGTTACTTATCTATCGGTGAAATATTACACGAACTATTAGGTATGTCTCAGATTATTTTTTGTTTCTGTGCAAAGGTTCTAATTCCAGACTTTTATTTCGTAGGTGAAATGGGTCATTTTTCTTATGTTGCTTTTGATCGCATAAATAAACAACGCGTACAAAAAGAAGCACAATGGAGGAAGAGACGAGGACAACAAATAGCCGGTGATGAAGATACTAATGATGATGAAGATACTGATGATGATGAAGATAAGAATGATGATACAATTGAAGACTATCACTCTGGTGCATATTGAACTGTGATTTTCACCTCATTATTGTTTGTAAATGTTTTTGTAAAAATAAAAACGATGAATGTTACTTTTTTCGTGTTTACACTGTTGTTACTGATCCTTAGTAGTTAAAACTACTGATAGTAGATTAATCTTTGTTTGTGATAGTGTATTAGAAATAAACTAGGTTTTCAGAAAACATCGTCCCGATACAATGCATAGGGACAGAAAATGGATCACATACTTATATAAATACGTACGTTCAATTCAACATCATCGAAATCTTTGTGAAATTAACTGTTGTATTAGGAAGCTACAAACATTTTCATACAATAGAAGTTCATGAAGGATGTTTCATAATAGCTGAAAATACAGTGTTAATGATATTTTTCATACTCTTGTTTGATCGATAGAGCTGAAATTTTTATCACATGTAAAACTAATCAAGATCTTTTGGTTCTGAGAGTTTCAGCTCTATAGCTATGATTAACGGTAAAATACATTGATCGAATTGCAATACGTAAGTTTTCGTGCTCGTTTTTTACTGAAAAAATAGGGCAAAAATTGAGTACGAAAACTTATGTATTGCAATTCGATCAATGTATTTTACTGTTAATCATAGCTATAGAGCTGAAACTTTCAGAACTAAAAGAACTTGATTAGTTCTATATGTGATAAAAATTTCAGATCTATCGGTCAAACAAAAGTATGAAAAATACCATTAACACTGTATTCTCAGTTATTATGAAACACCCTTTATGCCTCAGTAGCACATCCTCAGAAAAAGAATTCGTCAGGAAAAAAAGACCAATGTACACGTTTTGGCAAAACAAATTATGCCAGGTTGTATTTCATCACACGGGCTATCAGAATATGTATAAATCTCAAAATTGAGTTTTTTTCGAAAAATTGACTTTTCTGAGGGGGGGGGGGGCCCTTAATGTATTTATTCTATACTCTATTGGTCATATGATGTCTTCGGAGAATATCCCCGGAAACTCGATTATGTCCTAGGGGTAAGAGGTAGATAGATATGTAGATATAGGAGGTATAGGAGATATAGGAGGTATAGGAGGTATAGGAGGTATAGGAGATATAGGAGATATAGGAGATATAGGAGATATAGGAGGTATAGGAGGTATAGGAGATATAGGAGGTATAGGAGATATAGGAGGTA